GTGCCCGGCGGGGCGGGCCCCCCGGAGCGCTGGAGGAGGAGGCCGCGCCGCAACTCCCTGACGGAGGAGGACGGCAGCCAGGAGTTCTCCACCCGCAGCCGCTTCCTCTACTATCTCTTCAGCCTGGGCACGGAGTTGGGCAACGAGCTCTTCTACATCCTCTTCTTCCCCTTCTGCATCTGGAACTTGGACGCCTGGCTGGGCCGGAGACTGATCATCATCTGGGTGTGGGTGATGTACCTGGGGCAGTGCACCAAGGATGTGATCCGCTGGCCGCGGCCTGCGTCCCCGCCCGTGGTGAAGCTGGAGGTCTTCTACAACTCCGAGTACAGCATGCCCTCCACCCACGCCATGTCGGGCACTGCCATCCCCCTGGCTCTCCTGCTGCTCAGCTACGGCCGCTGGCAGGTAATTCTCGCCTCCGTGTCCTTCTCCGTGTGTTTTCCAGCCCCGAGGCTGTGACAGGCTTCATTTCTTTTGAGGGGAGAGTGGGGCTGCGTTTGGGTAAAATGGGAGATTCCTGTCTTTTCTTCCGCCCCTCCCCCCGTTTTTGAAGTTTGTCTATCAACCAAAAGAGTGTGCTCAGGTAAGAAGAAGTGTTGCAATAATTCTGCCTTGTAAATGGAAGTTCTGCTGACGTTTAAATCGTTAGCTCAGTGCACATTGAAAGTCTGCTTATCAATCTGTAATTTTTTTAATGAGGATTTTTCCGACTTATCCCTCGTAGAGTGAGTGCTTGCACAAGGTTTGGGTAGGCATCTGATAATTTACCAGGCGTTTGGTTTTACTATTTGGTGGAGAGCCAGGAACGAAAGGACTTTTTGATGATCCTTCTTTGCTTTGAATCACTTTGTAGCTCGGGTCAATTTGTAGCTTTAACCTTTCCTTTAACGCTGTCTTTTAGTTTAATTACCCATAAACTGGAAATTGTTATTTCTGTTCTGAGGAGTAGATATCCTTTCAGATGATTTTCTAGCTATTAACATGCTAATAATTATCAGGAACAGATAATCCCGTATCTCTTCAGCACCTTCATTCAGCAAAATGGGAAGACCTGCGTATTGCTCTTTGGGTCCACAAATGGGTTAAAATAACGCTGCAGATCATCTGGTTGACGCAGGATGAGACATGTGCTTCTGCACTTGCTGTTACCGGTTCGGCTGACGGTCAGAACTCCAAAGAAAGCACAACACACTTTCAGCTCTCTAAATCACCGCACCGATTTCAGTAGTTAATGAGGGTGGAGGCTTTCCCAGGCAACAAATATTCCACCTAGGGTTTTGAGGGCTCCGTAATATTCAAGGAGTTACGCAGTAAGTCTGCTCTTAAGTTGCTAGTGTTTACAAATTCTTATTGTAGTACCTGCCTGTTTAAAGTCAGAAGTATGTATTTTTGGCAGAGAGAGCTCTTTTTAAGCTTTACGCAGGGGCTGAACTCTTGTATTCTCAGTTGCTGCTAACAATCACCAGTTGTTTGCTGTTACAGTGTGGCGCTTTGTGGGTTTTTCTCGGCACAGAGTATGGGTGCCTGAGAGAAAAGTAATAGAATTATAGAATGGTTTGTGTTGGAAGGGACCTAAATCAAAACCTAGTCGAAAGTTACGGGGTTTATTTGTCCCCTCTTTAACCAAAGTTTATGTATCTGCTTATGCAAGGTGCTATGGTGAGCCCGAAAGAAAGCTACTGAGGATTCATAGTCTCTGCTAGGAAAACGTGAAGAATCACTCTCTTGAGAGTTGTGCAAGCATCAGATAATGTCATGCTTTGTGGCTGATTATGAAATAAATATCTGGCGTTCTGTCACTGAGGAGCTTAATCTTAACTGTTGTTGTGTGTGGTTTTTTTTAAAAAATTACTGCAATCTGAATATTTGATTATTACTTGTTAGATGTGTGGGGCTTGTGTCAGTTGAAGAATGAACTGGATTGTTATTTCTTTGCATGCGGGAAACCTCGTTTAGTAGTATCAGTTGATCAGCTTTGCACAGACTGATGTCATGTTTTCAAAGGAGAACCCGGCTTGACTTACAGAACCAGCAAACTGACAGTGTTGAAATGGTGTTTTTGCCAGGGAAACAAGTTCGATCTTTGGTTTGCCAACCCTGCAACTGTGGTCTGAAATACTGTACTAATTGACTAAACATTTATAATGAATGCATACTAAGAAATCGTAAACATTCAGCCTTATTATTATTCATTTAGAACTATACGTAAGAAATGAGGAAGCAAGCTGTTTGAGACTTCATTTTAATTCCTTTTTCATGTGAAATGAGTATAACAGACCTCTCTGAAACCAACTTCTACCATTTAAAAATATTAATTAAAAAAAATAATCCCTTCTGATTTGTAAGTTATTTCCGAATGTTAATCAAAAGTTAACCTATGGCATTTTTTTAGAGTCACCTGTAAAGGCAGTGAAGTGTTCATCTCATGCTTCTGCTGTTCTCCATAGTTTACTTGCATTGTAAAGGAGTAGAAACTATATGACCATTTTTTGTCATGCTTTTCTGGAAATAGTTGGGGTTAAAAAAGACTTCTTAGAAAGCTTTTAAGGATAAAGGAGCTTCTGCAAGAACTGATTTGTATTAAATTATGCATATTTATCAATATATGCAGATAGTTAGATTTTAACTCTTGGGCAAACGTTTGGGTACAGTCCTCCCGTGTATTGAGTGTAGGCGAGAATTGCAGAGACCCTGATAAGTCCATCTCTTAGGACTGTTTATTCAGAAACATCATAGTGGAGCAAGACTTAGTGTGAACTTAGATCTAGGCATAACTTTCTGCAGGGCCTTTTATTCTGGAATACAGGTAACTTTAATTGAGTTGGTCAAACAGAAGTTTGTACTAAACCAAAGAAAGCCACTCTTGCTCTAAAAGAGGTTCCTCCAGTGAGAAGGGAATCACTTTCCTGTATAGTTTATTTGGAGTTTGCTTTAATTGGGCTATGACTTCCTACTATTGTGTAATAGTTCTTTTCTATCAAAGACAGTCTATGATTCTTTCCCTTCAACAACACAGAGAACAGAGCAAATCTGCTCTTCTTTTTTCTATGTATGGTTCAAATTGTCCATTTAAGAACAATTTTTAAATTCCAATAAGTTTCCCTTTTAGGTTTTGTGCTTTCCTAGCTTTCAATGCCTACCAGTAATCCAATTATTTTCTTTTCATGTAGCACTAAAAAGGATTTTTTTTTAGTACACACAGTAAAACTATAAAATTTGCTTAGAAGTACAATTGTTCAAGTAAAATATTTTCAGAGATGGTGTTTTTTAAAGATGGCTGTGACAAATTTTTATAATTAGATATTTTGGACATAGGGAATAGTCAATGTAACTGACTTTCAGACAGAAACCAGTCAGAAGTTAAGATAACTGCCTGTTGTGGAATATGAGTTTTCACTTTCTCTTTGTATTATGAGAGCTTGCCTGAAACTTTCAATTCTACTTGCATAATCTTTATATATTTATTTAATATTTTTAATCTCAGCAGGGATTTCAGTTGTTTCAAAGACATTTCAATAATCCTGAAATACCATGCTCATGCCAAAGACTCATGAGAATTTAGGAGTATTATAGAATCATAGAATGGTTTGGGTTGGAAGGGACCTTAAAGATTATCTAGTTCCAAACCCCCTGCATGGGCAGGGATGCTAGTATTTTTCTTTACGTCTTTGAAGCTCTGATACCCCGAAAGAGGAGGACAAACACTGAAAAGACAGTAAGGTTATACATCTTGATATGGTGCAGGAAAGACTATACTTTATCACATGGGGGAAAACCTGCTTTCTTTGAAATAATTGACAGTTTGAGCCAGGCTGGTTTATATTGTGTCCTGAAAGGGGGAGTAAGAGAGAGTGTGAGCTGCTGTTTACCTACAAAATCTCCAAAAGCCTATGGATGAGACTACTAGAAAAAGTATTTTTTACATTTTGCATATTTTAAAATCTTACTTGTATTTTTAGATAGATTTGATTACTTTGAACTGCTGACTTTAGATATATATCAACACGTTTTATTGGAAATGGTACTTTAGTTAAGATAGTACCTGAATGTGTCAGAACCCCAGTGTTTTATTTTGAGGAAAAGGGGGGGGAAATCAATCATCAGTGAGACAAAATATGCTTTATTCAGAGAGTTTCTCCAGGATGCAGCCTGGCTGTAGCAGTAGTTGTCTGGATTAGGAAGTGATGGGTTTGCTCTCCTTCCTGAGCTCTGCATTAATGAGCTGAGTCAGGAGCTGCTGACTCTTGCTGTAGGCCACTGAATGAACTTTGTTAAGTTGATATTCAGCAGGAGCCCAGAGCCTTGTTTGATGAGTAGCTGGCCTCTGTAACTACATTAACCAACATTGTCTGAATGGGCTCATGTTCTGAAACAGTTTAGATCACTAAATATGACAACATTGTCCTCCTTATGTACTTGTCTGTCAATGTTTTACATGCAGATCCTGTCATCAGTGACTGTCTTTCCACCTCACTGATTATAATGACCTTAATAAGCACTACTACTGAACCCCCAAAAGAGTGCATCCATTCTGTAATGGTTTCCTTGATTGACATGCCTAAAACTATTTTTCAGTTCTCATTTACTTAGTGCTCTACTGACTCCTCACAGTACCAATTGTGTAAGAATGTAAAAAAATCTTTCCAGAAGTGTTTGATCTGCACCATTTCTTTTGTCAACCAAAGATGATCAGTCTAATCAAATGAGATGGTCTGACAGGATCTGTATTGGAATTTCACAGAGATCTACATTGTTCTGTGATTCTGATTGACCACTACTAAATAGCACCTCTAGAATTGTCTGCCTGCTCTTTCATTTCAAAAGGCTGACTTCCCTCAGTTCCCCACTGAGGATGGGGGATAATTGGTTATTGGGATCAGATGAGTAGGATAGTCACAACACTACTACAGTGAGAATTCTACAGAAAGTTGTCAAATTCTAGTTTTAAGTGTCTGTCCTTGTTGAAAGATGTAATGATGAAACAGGCAGCTACACATAGGAGGCAATCCCTTGTATACAAAGTCTGTGTGTAAGAACAGGAGCAGACCTCTTTCAGAAAGAGATGCCTCATCTTTCAGAGAAGCCCAAGAGGTGTACGCTTGTCTAATTGATTTTTTTGCATTGTGTTTCTAAAAATAAACAATCAAACAAAAGCTCTTTTGACACGTGAAGAGTAGCAGAAGGAATGATCCAAAAACCCAGAGTTGCCCACGCAAATAAGAGCTCCCAAGAAAGAGGAATGGGAATTTGGAGGGCCAGCATTGGAGGGCCTTGTGTGTTTGAGTGGTAAGATCTTCTGTGGGCCATATTAATGTCTGTAGTCTCAGACCTTCAAATAGAATCTGTTGCTTAAGCCTGAGAAAATGTTTTGCAGAAAACCTATTTTTTTAGGTGTTGGGGGCATA